ATACTTTCCGATCTTGATTCGCGCTCTTTGTGCCCTCATCTGGGCCGGCGTCACCATCGCGCAGGGAGGGTACTTCACAGCGGTCGTGCTGCGATGCATCTTTGGCGACAGTTATTGGGACCTGCCTAACCATATACCAAAGAGCTCCAATATCACAGTTCAGCAGCTCATAGGTCCGTGTTCCGGGATCCTTTAGGAGTTGACCGAAGCTGACGACTCGTTTTATGCAACAGGAATGATTGTGTATTGGGTGATGACATGCTGGACACTGAATGTTCCCATCCCTAAACTCCGGCGAGCATACGAAATTCAAATGCTAGTTCTTCCAGCGGTGATTATTGGTACGCCCGTCATGATATCTCTAATGATGAGTTGACGAAATGACTTGCTGATCGGTCCGTCCAATAGGTCTTTTCGCTTTTTGTATGGTGACCGGGCGAGGACATCCGCATAAGGATCTGTACAGTGTTGAACATAAACATGGCGCAGAACTGTCGTGGGCATTGGTAAGAAGAAAGCCTGGTTGCACAAGTCAGATTAGCATTCTGACGAGGACAGCTTTCGGCCGTCAATTCCGGTTTGGCCAAAACAACCACACTCATGGTGAACCAACCGGACATTGCACGCTATGCCCGCAGTAAGATGGCTCCGGTCTGGTCACAGCTGGTCATGTTCCCTGTGGCAAGTACTGTTTGCGCAGCCATGGGGATATACGCCACACAGAGCATCTACAATGCATGGGGCAACATTGACTGGAATCCGTGAGTTTTGACGGCTGTCCTCCTCTATCCAGCTTATCGTTGCTGTGGATGCACAAAACTGACAAAATACCCTCTCAGGTGGGACCTGAATCACGACATGCTCGACCACAGTTTTAGCCACGGTCGCCGAGCCGGCATCGCCATTATCAACCTTGCCTTCATCTTCGGAAACGCCCTTACCGAGCTAGGGGCGAATGTCATCCCGTTCGGAGCGGATTTCATGTCACTGTTTCCGAGATGGCTGAACATCAAACGAGGCATGTGGTTATGCTATATCCTCGGAGTGTGCATTTGCCCATGGCAGATCTTGGCAACAGCGACAGCCTTTCTCAAATTCTTGAATGGGTATAGCATCTTTCTAGGGCCTTTCCTCGGGATGGCTTTGACGGACTACCTCGTCGTTCGCAAAGGCAATGTCTTCGTCAGGGATCTGTACCAAAAGGGTGGCAGGTATTGGTACTTCCATGGCGTGTCCTGGAGGCCGGTTGCCACATGGCTTTTCTCTGTTGCTTTTATGGTACGTCCAGAAACGCAGCCCGATGCCTCTGGCGTGGCGTGTGTACTAACTAGAGAAAAACACTACAGATTCCTGGGTTTGCAGAAACTTTCGGCACCCAAATTGCAAACGGCCAAGGTTGGACTCACCTGTACGCCTTCAGTTGGTTCTACACGTGCACCATCAGCAGCGTCGTGTATTTTGCATTGTCGTTTGTCGGGAATTACACTGGTGAGGAAAAGGCCATGGCTTTTGAGAGCCTAGCAAGGACTGGTGTTGTTGAGGAGGGACAGGCCGTCGAAGGACAGAGCGACGTATCTGAAGTTAATCTTAGCATCGAACAAAAGGTTTGATTGTCCTGTCGGTGCGGAGATAGCTAGAGCGTGATAGCCTCGAGAAAATCAGAGACTATCGAGTCGTTTCCACCACTAAACGAAGATTGAGATGAAGTCGTGTCCCGGCGATGCAGTTGCTAGCCCAGCCTGGAAAGCAACTGTTCCAGAATCGATCGGAGGCTGCATCAAAACTAGGGTTGTTTGGAAAGAATGGAAGTTAGGAGGATGAGAAGGGAAAGTTTGATATACAAAGGATTTTACTAGCCTATTTAGGACTAGGGTTGGTAATCGGTCTTGGCACTGAGTGCTTGGGCTTGGGCTTCCCAGACTCCCCTTTCTCCGTACCTGTCACCTGTTTAAACCCTCGTTGTCCTCATTTTCACTCAAGATAGACATTTCAACGAGCTTATTTATGACCCCGACTGGTTCAACACGAACAGACGTTCAGCTGTCAAGCCTCGCGTGTCCGGGCTTGTCCACATTACCATGCTCGAAGAGGGAGGTACATACAGTTCCACTTCAAAGCCCCCGAACCGATGGCAGATTCCTGGTCATGACTTGATGAGTACATTTGCAAAGTTCTGCTCGAACCGATTCCTCTACTGGCTGCTCAGCCTAAATGCGACGCTATCGTATCGCAGGGCCGTTTGCGGGCCTTCGAACTCAATCAAGTATCCTTCCTTGCAGGCCGAAAACATAATCTTGGGCTGTGCGGCATAAAATTGGTCATACTGGGCACTGAGAGCGTCTCGAAGATTTCTGACGTTACCCTGCGGGTGGAGCTGAAGCCGCGGATCAGTGCATTCAATGCCTCGGCATGACTTAAGGACAAGCAGGAGAGCATCGACTCGTGCAACGAACTTATTGAGTGGTCGTCCAAGGATCTGCTGCTTTGGGGCTTTGGCGATGTCGTTTACGTTCGGTAGCAGATTCTGCATCTGGTATTTATCGCTCTTCATGTCGTACAGCTCATGCTCGTTGGTGCACCATACCGAGTAGTAGAAGCTGTAATCAGCTCCTATGATCCTTAGTGACTTGTAGGTGCTATTGTGCTCACCCTTGACAGTGAAGTTCGGATGGGGAGCTGCCAATTCATATGGATCTGCAACACCCCAGTGCTCAACATTGACATGCTCAACGTTGCTCACGCCCCTCTCCTTGGTTGCAGCTCCTGCCAGCGGCATAGGGCGTCCATCCAAATGGGTCCTTTGTGGGAGGCCAAACAGGTCGAGAAATGTCGGGGCAAGGTCCGTGTGGGTGGTAACAGCTTGTGAAATCTGACCAGCGGGGACGCCAGGGCCTCGCCAGATCATGGGTATGTTGATATCGGTTTCATAACCTGTCTTCTTCCCTGGACCCATCCGATGCTGCCCAATATGGTAGCCGTTGTCTGTGGTATAGATGACGTGTGTGTTGTTCAAAATACGATATTCGTCCAGGATTGCCACAAGGTTGGCAACCATGTCATCAAGGCCAGCAATGACGCGAAGCCTTGCGCGATACAGGGCATCGAGCTTGTCCACAACAGACCTGTCTTGATGCGGGAGGTTTTGCAGCCAAGATACGCTTCCTACTTTCTTCGGGTTGAAATTCTTGACTCTCGGCACTGTCTCATTGCTAAACGCGTTTTCCCACTTCTTCTGTGGAATCGGCAGAAAAGTACCGCCTCCTTTTGCTCGGACCCCGACATGAGGCACCGCCGGAGCCACCGTCAAGAAGAATGGCTTTTGAGCCTTAGCAGCCTGATTCAGCATCTCCACGGCGTGCTGATGAGCCAGAGTCACGGCGTCCAGGCAAGGACGTCCAGTTTTGTCCCTGTTTGGCCCAAGTTGTGTTGCAGTAATCGTATACTCCCGGCTCCAACAGAAAGCTGCACAAGGTGAGTCTCCGTGATGTCTGCGGTTTTGGCCACTTACTTGCTGTCAGTCCAGCCTTTCGCCTCTGGGTCTCTGTAATTGTGAATGCTTTGGCCGTTGAACAGTTTGCCAACATAGTAAGTGTTTATGCCACCTTCCCTCAACCAGATCGGCAAGTAATCATCATTGAGACCCTCGCTCACAAACTTTGGATAGGCCCCTAAAGCAGTTCGTTACCTTCCGCAGTCCGAGTTGACCAAGTACGACATACCGTATGGCAGCCGGACATCAGTCACGTTGGTGTTGCTCCTTTCATTAGCCAACATTCTCTACTTCGTGGAGCTTGCACGTACTGAACGCATTTCCCTGTGAAGAGACTGACTCTCGAGGGGCAGCATAATGCTGTGGTGCAGTAGTGATTCGAGAAGGTCGTCCCGTTGCTTGCAAGAAGATTCTGGACATTAGGCATGTAGTCCATTGAATTCATGTGGAGATCTGCAACGTCGCGTCAATTTGAATGGCCGATGCCTGGAAATGGATTCGCACACCTTGATCATCCGACATGATGAGAAGGATGTTGGGCGTGGCTGATCCATTTCTCATGAGAAGACCGAAGCCACCACCGGCGAAAGCAAGAATATCAACAAATATCTTTGTGACGAGCATCCGGTCAATCTTCATGTTGGCCTTTATGACCTTCAAGATAGCAGCCTGTCGTCTCGGATTGGGGATTTAATTATACCACCCGTTTTGCGGAAGGACCTGTGTGCAAGCAATATCACCTGATTCCTTTTATCGCCCGGAATGGAAAAACAGCTCCCTTGTCATAAAGCCAGCGGTATGTAACGATTCAAGTGCTCGTTTGATAGAGCGGGCAGGGCCAGCCCTACTCAAAGTTGCAAAGGAAAGCAAGGCCTTAGAGAGGCAGGATTGGAGGTAAGTCATGAAAAGATCTCGAGGACAAGACGATTCACAGTCTCCTTGCACTATTCAACTCACAAACAGGGCCATCTCATTGTCGGCCTTGTAGCCAGTCAATGTCACATATAACCCTATATGCAGATCAACTTCCGCCACGTACAACAGTAACATCGGGTATGGCGCTATTGACGGAGTCTGGGTTATGTCAAATCTTCCAGGATCTCTTCCAGCTGTGTGTTAGCGAAATATGACCGCCATTCAGCTGGTTGGTCGCCTGACTCTTCGAGAACCCTGATCGACTTGCAGCCTTGTAAGACCGAGATCTGATGATCGGTAGACAGCGTTCAGGTTTCTCCCTGGGTGGCCCATGTTTTATTAATCAGGCTCTCTGGTTGCCTAATCCGTTCTTTACTCGCCCACAGTGAGCTTACAATGATGGCAGGAGTTCTAAGCGAAGCAATTGATTGAACGCAAAGTTCCAGCACAAGGGACTGTCATGCTACGGCCCGATACAAACATCAGTCCATCTCTCCAACCTTTAAAACCAAATGCCAGACGAGGAGCAGGCATCGTTCACGTTCGAAGTTCATTGGAACTTTGAGCACATTGAAAGATCCCGAGCAACTGCAACATGCACGTACCAATTGCTGTCGCTGTTCTCTTGTACAGCCTTGTCACACTGGCGCAGCAATCCCAGGTGTCTGGATCCTTAGGAACAGTCACTCTTTCACCTTCACCATCTCTTCCGAGCGGAGTGGCGCAAACAGTCGACCCGGCTTTCCCTGGGCTTGCATTTGAGGCGAGATCATTTTGGTGTTATGCAGGTACGAATAGAATAGTTTGTCAAAGGCGCTCCCAGAAAGCGAAGGACTGACTCCATATTACCAGGCACAGCTGGACAACCCAACAAGTTCTCCCTGAACCTGTTACGAACTATCGCCGACAAGACCAAGACCAAGCCCGTCATTCGTGTTGGGGGAACCTCACTGTGAGTTCCTTATTCCAGTTCGTCAGGCCGAGCTATGGTTGAGATGGTACCCAAAGGGATCATTCACTGGGCTATGACCCAGACCAGCCCACGGCAATCCACGTCCCCGAGGGTCAACCTGCCGGTATTCCCAGTAACATGACCTTCGGCCCGTCGTACTTCGAATCGTTCACCAACTTTCCAGACGCGGGGTACATCCTCGACATCCCTTTCTCATACAAGAATCACACAAACTCGCTCCATTTCATCGACGTGGCATATCGCAAGATAGGAGCAGGCCACATCTACGCACTGGAATTGGGAAACGAAGTCAACCTCTACAGACAGCCATTGGACTGGAGCATCGCCGACTATGTGTCTCAGTGGACCGTATGGACAAGTGACATCGCGGCGAGCCTCGGCGTTGGGAATGATACCAGAGTCTGGCAAGCAGCCGCCACCTCTGTCAATCCGCTGCTTTCAGGCTATCAACCGGACAATTCATGGCAGATTCCGACCATCTTCAAGAATGGCGCCCTCGTCAAAGACCGTCACCACCATTAACACCGGCACAGCAAACGTTCGTGTAGGGGCGAGAGAGGCCGTCATAGTTTACTTGGGATATTGAAAAGAACCACTCGGATTTGTACCTGTATCACCTGTAACAACAAGTGAAGGAGAAACTGTTCTCTATGGCATTCCCGGTCATTTTTGCCGACCTCATGTTGTGTCGGCGGCCGCTCTCAGAGCCGTCTAAAGGGAGCTCAGGTTTGCTTCGAGCGTGGCTTCACCAATGCCAGTTGGGACAGGTTGAAAGACACAAACATTCCGTTTATTGGAAGGGTAACCGCTGTTGATCGATCCAGACGCCATTAACCCTTGATACTGGGATGCACAGAAGCGAAACATCTGTTTTCGGAGAGCTCAGTTGCCACGGTCGATTCTGACGTCGTGTATCAAGCAGTCCTGCCTTGTATCCCTTGCCATCAAGCCTGTCATGAAGCTAGCATTGTATCACAAGGTATCTCCGGCGAGTCCCTTACTGACTTGAAGGTTATTGCGTTGTTTACAAACGCCGTAGGGATGTAGTCATCCTTTCCGTAAAACTTGTTGGTCGACATCGTGTGGCAGAGGAGCACCTTTGTCACTTCTGCCTCTCTAACAACTCCAATTCTATTAGAGGCTGCGATATGACCTAGACGAATCAATGAGATAGAAACGCGGCATTGGCGTGATTCTCGTCGCCTACCTGGGTATCATTAATATCACAGGAGTATTGGTGGTAACGCCGGAGCCTCTTGAATTGATCGGTGCTCCATGATCTAGGCGGCCCTTCGCCGGATTCCAGGCCGTTTTGGGCACAGCTGCCACCTACAAGGCGATCCATTTAGGTACCTAGGGAGGCTCGCTAGGCACCCATTGCGACCCCGAGGCGCCCACAACTGTCAGTTACAGGCGTGTTAGAGGCTTAACAGACTGAGCTCCACTTCGCCCGTCAAACATATTACGAAGCTCGCGACATCTTGGCGCTTCAATCCGTCGAAACTGGTCTCGTATAATTGGACTCAACACTGTGCTCCTCGAACTGCTTCGCTCAAGCAGTAACCCTCATATCACTCCATCTAAATGAGTACGCCCATCCCAAAACAGTCCATCCTCCACGCTTACCGACATCTCTACCGGACTTCGCTTCGCGCAGTCAAGCACGCGCGTCCCGCGCGCTATGAGATCCGCGACATTCTGCGCGACTCATTCCGCAACTCGCCTCCCGCAAATTTCAATCTCCGGCGCATACAGAACACGCTGAAGTTTCTCGAGAATGCGAGAAAGTACAATGGATTCGAACACAGGATCGTGAAAAATTTGCTGCATCTGCAATTTTGGAAGATTAAGGGTCTGGACAAGAAACTGTACGTGCAGGAAGAATTCCTTTGCTGAGCCTCTTGAGGCGACGCGCTGACATTCGGGGTTGTAGGATCAAGAATTCGAACACTTCCGAGGCCATCGAGTCTAGACGACAGATATGGCATCAGTATCGGGCGACATTGACCATGCTGAACGAGAGTCTGGACATCTGCCTGACGATATAAGCCAGAATGGCAACGTCTCGTCTCGTTGATGTTGAAGAGGACACGGACAGCGCTGCTTGAAACGACTTCCTTGAAAAGGGATTCCGGATCCAGCAGAGGCACACGAAATCGCCGGATCGTTGCAGCTCACCCAAAGTCGATGGATGGCGAAGGCTAATATGCACCGGCTGCACTGTCAATTACGATCGAAGAGGGCTCCAAGCACCGCATGATGGGAGATGTTCCGGGGTGTATGACGATCACCCGAAGAACAGAACGCACGGGAAATTGATGATGATGCTCACTTCAGAATCTCGACCGCATCGATCTCCATGGCGCAGCGTCAGCTGTGGACAGAGCGACGCCATACGGGACGACCCTCCGCATTCATCTATTCTCGGTCCCTATTCTCTTCAGAAGGTTAAATTAGGAGACCCTACGCGGCTCAAATGATGACGGGGACTGGGTAACAGAAAGTATTCCGATACGTATGCCTCACCGAATCTGAGAAAACAGGAGCTCTTCTCATCGGATACTCGTGTTTGCGACGGAGAACATGTCTGGAGAGGCCGGCGATCCGAGTCTTCTCCCCTGTGAACCCCCTTTTCATTTACTCGCTTGTCCAAAGCGGCCACGAATCCAATCTCTTCAGCCACGAATCCAACGGCATGTCACCGAACTGTCATTCATGGACAAGGGTATCCCCATTCCTTAGGGCTGAGTCCTTGAGCATAATTCGACCGTTCTTCCCAATTACACCTTTCTCAGTAGCTGGCTTTGGCTATGCCCCATTAGAAGCATGTTCTTCATGGCTGCGCTAGAACTCATCTTCCACGTCGGTATGATACGAAATGGACGTATCTAGGCGGCGAAGCGATCCAGGAAATTAAAGGAACTGTCTGACAATGCGTCTTCCTGGTAGAATTAAAAGATACCTACCCAATTCTCAAGCTCGGAAGTAACTAGACTTCATCTACAGCCTTCTGTCGTCGGTCTATCAGTCCTCTTGCCGTCGAGCACGCTGCTCATGCAACGCACCGTCCCCTTTCAGTCAGATCACAAGCAACTCTGACGTACTGGTTGGGATGTGTCTATACAGTGATCAAGCGTTGACCTTTTATCTGTACACCAACACCTGGTGAAGCTGGTCCTTCAGGTCTCCGCTGGAGCCGCAGGCAGACTCTCCTGCACAGACCATTCAAACAGCAGCTCGCACTACCCCCTCCACCTATGGGGAGCCAGGCTACCAGTACCGTTGCACAAACTCTCATTGAATGGACATGTAGATAGACAGATCTCCTCAACATAGACCAAATGCGATTCCATTCTCAGTTTCACAGTATGTCATAGAGTCGATATACACGCATTTGGCTTCGGGTTTTCCGACCACAAGACGCTTTCGAACTTTCAGCGCCCTCGCAATGCCCTATTAAAAGAGTCAACACCGTGTCGAGGAGTGTTATATTATATTTCAATTTCATTATCACGATATCACACCGCCGTGTACATAATGCACCAGTTGAGCCAAGTTGAAGAATCTTGCATGTGACGAAACCTGCGTGCCTTTGTGACCGCAACGATACCTTGGGAATCATTGTGTCACAGATAATCCAGAACACTTTCCTGATGTTATGTGAAATATAGGATTGCTTGTTCTTGTCACCCCTTTCCGCGGGTGTGTGCGTTGCCCTTTCCGGGGAATATCCCCATATTCACGCGGTATATCTCGAGAGAACAACGTACAAAATGTGGCGTGGCATTAAAGATATTATCAATTAATGGCTAAAACAACTCTATAGCGGTTATGCAGCGACGCCAACTAGCCCTTCGTGGTCTCGTCAACAGTCGGTGCGATTCGTTCTTGTCCTCGTCAGATCAAGGCCGGCCAACGACGTCGACGTGTTCACCCTGTCGATGTCGTACGGGCTGGCGTTATAGTTGGCAGCCTCGCTGACACTGCCAGTCTTGGACCTGACCCTCGTCAACGACGTGCGAGCGCCCACCTCGGATGCAAATGACTTGCTGGTCTTGATCGGTTCGAACCTGGCTTCGCCTTTGCCAGACTCCGAATCGGGGATGCTAGTAGATCTCCTGATGAATTCCTCGTCAAATTCTCGTGTTTCGTTGGCGCGAGCAGCCTTCGCACGGAGCTCGGCCATGATGGCCTCGGCTTGGGCGGCATACACACAACGACTCCGGATCTTGGCCCCATACTTCCAGAAGATAAATGGGAATGGAACGCATGCCAATGCTAGGAATCCCGGGATCGAGCTCGCCCAGTGGATTCCCAAAGCGTCAAACATGTCTGGTGTGAAGAGAGGGAAAGCGGCGCCGAAGAGCGATCGTAGAACCGTGTTTGCTGCCAATACGGACGCCGCGAAAATGGTGTACGAGTCGATCAGATAGTTGGTGACGGCCAGGAAGATCACAGTGAAACCACAGCCAAACGGCACCCCGGCCAAGACGGGCGAGATCCAATGAATAGAGGCATAGTTTGTCCAGGCAAACCAGAATAGTCCAATAGGTATCGCAACGGCCCCGTACATTGCCGTTGGTAATCGAGCCTCGGCCGGGGCGACGCCGCCATGTTTCACAGCCTCGTCTGTGTACCATTTATTCGTCCAGCTCGCGAAGGCAATTCCTCCTATCATGCCAACGGCGACACCAAGGAATGGAAGTCCGCCGATACCTTCTGACCACCCGCGAACTTGTTGAAACACAATCGGGTACGCACCGAACAGGAGATAGAGCGTACCTGATGCCGTCAGCAAGACCGAGTTTCCCAGAAGATGGAGCGTGACTTACCGTAGACGATCGCGATATAGAGCGACAGTAACAAAACAATCGGCTCCTTGAACAGCAAAATCCATGGTCGAATGAGCGCGGTCGGCAGAAGGGACCTGAGAGACGGAGCTCCTTTTCCCTTGTCCGCTTCTAACATGTAGACTTTGCCGGTCATCTTTGACAGCTTAGCGACCCTCTTTCGCAGAATGACAGGCGCATAGGTTTCGGGCACGAAGGCAGCCCCTAGAATCCACATGACACCGGCGAAAATTGCCAAGAGACCCATTACCCATCGCCATCCTTGGTTCTCGGCAAGGAATCCTGAGCAGAACGGTCCAAGTGTAGGCCCCATTGAGGGCGCCAGTGCAAAGATTCCCATGGCCAACCCTCTTTCCGACGCCTGAAAGACGTCTGCAATGACACCGCCGGCGTTGGTGAATGGAGACGAACCGAAAGCCCCGGCAAAGAAACGTAGGACGAGGAGAGTTCCGATATCATTGGCACCAGCACACCCAGCACAGAAGGCTGTAAAGCCGCCGAAACTGATGAAGTAGATTATCTGCCTGCCGTAGAGTTCCGACAGCGGTGCCCATAACAGCGGCCCGATTGCGAAGCCGAGAACGAAGAAGGATATGCCGGCGGTTATCAACTCGGTACTGGCGCCTAGGTCGACGATGAGTTCGCGTATGGTTCCTGAGACGGCAATTAGCA